TTCAAGGATCTGCTGGTGTTCACGCCGGCTGACGCCGCTGAAAGCGTGGTGGTGTACCCGGAGGAGAACAACAACAACAACTCCACGGCTGAATCCACCACCGAGAAGAGGAAGCCCTCCTTCACCTGCAAGACGGTGGACGGCCACACCATGGCCCTGGTGCTCGAGTGGCTAGAGCACCACCAGGACGAGGACATCGAAGAGAAGACGGTGGCTGATGATGATGGTCCTTTCAGGGAGCGACCGTTGCCGGAGTGGGACGCCGCCTTCTTCGGCCGAGTCGGCTCTGGCTGGGCGGAGCTCGCCCCGCTGATCGAGGCCGCCAGCTACCTGAACATCGACCGCCTGGTGAAGTACACGGCGAAGGCGATCGCCGACCAGATGAGCGGCATGAGCACGGAGCAGATGCGCGCCTACGCCGGCATCCAGGTGACCGAAGAGGAAGTGGCCGCTCTGGAGAAGTGGGTAGACATGGACATGTCCGGTGATCAACTGGTGGACATCAACTCGCAGAACTCGGACAACGGCGTCGAGTAAGAAGAACACTCACTGCAGCTAATCTTGTAGTATTACCTTTCTATTCATTCATTCTGTTCGCTGTTTTGTATCCTCATATTTTTATTCCTCAATCTCTCTACTCTATGTGTGTGTGTGTCATCTTTCAAGGAAGTCAGTCATGTGCTGATGGAAAAACACATCTTTGTTTTAAAATAGAAGGTCTACCATACTTCTTTTGCCTTGTTACACATCTTTGCCTTTGCCCTTCACAGTGATGGTGTGTGTGTGTGTGTGATTTCCGCAAATTGTGACACAAGTAATGAGGTAAGGTGATACAACTCACTTTGCTTGCATTGCTACCAAGCGCTCGACCTTTGCTCTCTTCTTTTCCGCTAAAGTCAGCGAAAAAGAAAGTGGCTCGTTTTCACCTGAAAAAAGCTCTGATTGAAAGCTGTGTGTTTGCGTCATTGGTGTAATTGTCTTAATTGTCTGTTTAGTGAGCTGAACAGCACTGAAGACATTGTCACTTTA